GCGAATGGCCTTCTTCAGAGCCTAGAAAGATCACAACAATTCACGACTATCCGACCAAACGTCTCCACTGCCACAATAAAGTTCGAGACCCCGAGGGCACGCAAGTGGTTAGAGGAGAACCACTTACCGTAGCTTTGGGGATTTTTGGAAATTAACCAGCAATCGATGATAACAATCGACCAGTCTCAGTTGGGGTAGGTCTTCATTCCGAGTCTCTGTGGGAAAGTCAACTTTTTACAAGGCCGCAGCACCCGTGTGATTGCGATGCATTCTTCCCTACGATTCATTTTTGGGACGGTGACGTGTATCCGAAATGCCTCGAGGGTTTTACGCGCGCATAATTGCGATTCCTGTGCCACAACCTCCACGGTGACTTGAAAGGCGCCTTCGTTGTGCTTTTGTATTCGGTGACCGCCTAAGGAAGCGGGCTCTTTCAATCGCTTCATACCATCTATGCTCCTTAACCCTTTGACGATAATGCGGATTTCGACGTGACGCGCCCATGGGACCACACTCCCCTTCTTTCGCGCGCGACTGGCACCCACCGGTGGGAGGCACTGTCCAGGAGAAAATTCTTTTACTGGCTTACCGAGTTCAGGAATTGGAAGAAATAAGAAAGTATGGTGGCCCCCAAAATTGGGCGCCGGTGGGTGCCATTGTCGTCAAAGAGTTAACCCTCACGTGGAGTGGTCTTGCCGTTTCTCCAATATACTCATCACCACAATCACGGGGCAAGAAATTGTGTAGACCACCTCGTATCTTGTAGAATGTCGAATTTGGTAGGGTAACAGCTCCGGACTCCTCGAAACGTCTGTCTAATAAAGCTTGTATACAAACCTCGTGAACGGTTAAAGAAAACAACTCACTTCAATGTATCTTGCCTTGCAGCACCTTTCTGTTATCAATCTCCAGTGTCTCTACCCTGACTTCTGCACCCTTACCGACCAAACTGCTCTATCTTCAAGGATGGTACAAATTTAAATCAAGGAGAAATGATTTAACTTCTTCTGGTTGTGAAACAACACCTTCTACTCTCCTAGAACACCACACAGTTCGAAGTCTTCATTGTCTGTCGAAAGACAGGCTTCTCACATTACATTCTTTAATGTTAGCGACGTTTGTAAAATCAATGTTACAAGTGTACTACAAAAGCTCAAGGGCGATGAGAGCAAAGACAGTGATTTTTTAGTGTAAAGGGAAAGAGCACAGCCCTGTCCGCATAAGCACGAAATCGAACACCATCCAGTAAATATTTGCTCCTGACCCAACACCTCTATCGTACGTTTTCATAACAAACTAGCAGAAGGGACAACCGATCTATCATAACAATATTCTTTCAGACATCAGCTAGACCATATATTTCAAACTACATGCTTGGGTATGATTTCAGGTAATAATGTCGGTATCCTCAGCTGGCACTATGAATGGCAACGAATTACGACCGCTTCGCCGCGCAAGGTAGGTTGATAATGATAGATTAAAGTAAAGCATAAATTAATTCTCGTGTGACTATACTTCTCTGAAGTTTTTGATCTGTATGGATTTATATGCCTAAGAATAAGGTGAGAAATATCAGTAAGAGCTAATGTAAAAGCATTTTAGGTTGAGCGTACTATCTACTTTATATAATTCGCTAAGTTTGTCTATTGGTGTGTCGTTTTGTGTGTGCGTGTCGGCGTGTGTGTTTGGCCAAAAACTCGGTAGGATAACAGCTTTTCGTATTAAAAGTGGAACTTCGGCATTTAAGTAAGTGATGGGATATGGATCACAGATACTCGATAAGAATAAGACGAGAGGCCTAAGGGAGCAAGAGCCATCTGCAATCGAAATCACAATTCTTCGGCATTTACGACGTAACTTCAACTGTTCAGTATGTTTCATTCGATAAGTCGGGATGGTAGAGTAGCGTGACAAAAGTGAGTGTTAAGGGCAGTGATAGGGATCCATCAGCCACGCTACGATAAGCAGATGAGAATTTTGCTCAATTCTTGCTATTTGCTTACGACCGCTACCCACCAAGGTTTGTGACTCAATGAAGGATCCTCATTGTTCGATATCACCCGCGACAAAACTTAACTGCCCGCCAGTTATATGGAACTCTTAACTAATGATATCCCTATAAAAAAGGATTCGTTGATAATGACATCTGATAACGGTGTCACCATCACTCGAAACATTTGTGAGTACCGCCCATGGCTTTGGTTGCCTAATAGTCAAGTAATGGGTATTTATTTTAAGAATGAGAGCAAAAGATCGAGACTTCTAATCAAAGGCATAGGAACCTTACACTGAATACAATTTGCAATGCCCTGTTAGTCCAGTGACAAAGATCGAGACAAACTTCGTGTACAGAAAATTATTATTCGCTTCGAAGAAAGAGTAGAGAGTTAGCCGATTACTACAACTTTGTCGAAAAAGGAGGGAAGCCCGACGTTAGCCTGGCGACCAAACTGGTATACAAATAATGCGCTAACCTGTATGTTTTGCGCGTATGTATGTATGTATGTATGTATGTATGTATGTATGTATGTATGTATGTATGTATGTATGTATGTATGTATGTACGTATGTATGTTCACAGCAGTTCCACCCAAAACACTCATTTTCGTCTAATCTCCTTTTTAACGATTTTTCGAAGCCTTCTTTACTTTGGAATCACCTATTCACGTAGTTCCTTCGCCTTCATCCCACTATTTTCGACATTATCTTCCATTTTCAGTCATAATCTGGATAATCCGAAATTAATGTGACCTGCGCCTCTCAGTAGTATGGTCCCTATGTATTGCACAAAGTACACTAGTGTGCAAAACTTAGGGACGAAAGCAACTTTCGATTAAAGTACCTCTGGCAGACGACAGAGCTCGATGAAATTTATACCATGCCGACAGAGGACCATTGCGGTTTAGCACAGGAAGCAACCGACGGAAAATCTAAATAAGACGAGCAGATAAGACAATTTTATTCAAGGGTACCGATAACACATTGTTTTTCACAATTTATCCTAGCACTTCAACTAGAGCGACGCGGTTCCCAATAGGGTGTGTGATCACCACGAGCAGCAATAAATGCTCTGCAAAGCGATCCCATACTTTCCAAAGGTCGGTGAGGAGTTTCTGTGGTAAGGCGTTCCACTCCTCATTCAGCACAATTGACAATTGTTGGGTGGTTAGTGGTGCATTTGGACGTGGTGCATCTCGCCTACTCAGTGCATCCCACACATGCACCATGGAATTTAGGTCAGAGGAACGGGCAGGCCACTTCATTCGCCGAATATTCTCTAGTGCCAAGAGCTCCTCCACATGTGCTTTCCGATACGGTCGCGCACTGTCACCCATGAAAATGAATTCAGTGCCCACTGCAGCCTTGAAAAGACGCACATGGGGAAGGGATACCTCGTCACAGTAACACTGACTGGTTCGACGGTCAAGAATCTGGAGGGAGGTCAGCACGGCTATGCAGCATGATGCTTCCCCATACCAATACACCTCGACCACCAGAACAATCACGTTCCACAACATCTGGGAGAGTTTCGTGCTCCTACCTCTCGCCATATAAGCGTGAGTTCAGAATCCCTACTCATATTGAATTTGCTCTCATCCGTAAAGAGCACACTACTCCATTTCTTATCGGTCCATTCGCTGTGCTCCAAGCACCACCCTAAACGGTCTCGCCGATGCACGATGTTCAAAGGAATACAACGTAGCGGTCGTCGGGCGAATAGACCGCCACCGTGCAGTCGTCGTACCACTGTAGTGCGTGAGATGGCTTGCCTCGAAGTCCTGTTAAATGACATGGCAATCGCAGAAGCTGATTAACATGGGTCTCTTATTGCCTGCTGCACAATGTAGTGGTTATCGTTTGGTATAGCTGGTCTTGGTCGAGGATCTCCTCTCCTTCGAGCAGCAGCACTAGTGGTTGGAAATGCTCTCCATGCACGTGAAACAACGATGCGAGCGATAATAGGCTCCTGAGCTACACTCTGCATGGCTCGACCTTTATCGTGTTTCCCGATGAACCTTCCCCGTGTCAAGACATCAAGACGATGTCTGCGGGACATGATGTATACAAGGATACCACCACAATAATTGGTAGCAACTGGCTGATTTATAAAAAAATTTTTTTCGTACCTATCAAGTGCCTCGATTTGTGCAGGCAGCCATATTTCTCGCTTTATTTGAACTATTCTCCACGCAGGGAAGTCCAGCTTCCTGTGCATTACCGTTATAGGCCTGGCAATATACTCCCACACTTTCTTCTATTTCCACCCAGTCCTCAATGTTTTATGTTACATTATCCATCTCGTCCCTAAGTTTTGCACACCAGTGTACATCGCGGAGCACCCACCAGCGGGCGCAGGTGCACTACACGCATTAATTGATGCCTATTGAAGCTTCATTTCTGTGAGAAATCGATCGATATAGGCACTACTTTCAAAAAAACAGACAAAATGTTATTCAACCACTAGGAAGTTCAAGGTATTTTGATCTAAACACACAAAAAAATTAACCGACTACAAAAAAGTGGAATGCTCGGTTAACTCACTAGGCGATTTCGAATTCCCATAACTTAGAGATTACTTGCAACGAGGGTTTCTAGAACGACGATCTTGCAAGTATTTAAATTTGTCTCAGATGAACATGATCTACTCCGACTCTTAAAGCCAAAATTTTAATTGATCCAACCCAGAGTCTAGTCTGTGCTCCCATCAACGACGCAGTCAAAATCCAATTGATTCAACTCGTGGTGTAGTCGGTGTTCCTATCAAGGGTAGGCGAAAGGTTTCTACGTTTCAGTGCTGCTTAACGCTGCCATCCCTTTCACGTCCTGGTTTTACATTTCCTGCGTCGTACGGTTCATTTTTTCCACTGTTTCCCGAGGTCTGGGTCTTATTTTTCATGTCATAAAGTTGAGTAGCTGGTTTTAGGGAATTCTGCCAAAAATTTTGAGGCATCAAACAAGTTTGTACTTCTTGTTTTCATACAAACGAGCCTGCCATCTACATGGTTCAAAAGCTTCGTTCCAGGTAAAAAAAAAATTGATCACTCATTATTACAGAGTCGAGCGAACGTGAGCTTGGGTAGTTTCGGGTAATATGCATTAATTATATCATTTATTTATAAAAGTATTACAAATTACAGAATTCAAAGCTACTGATGGACTTATTGATTCACCTGGTTTCTTTCACTGTCACCAACAACTTTAAGGGAACCGACGATGGCCGAGTTGTTCGCGCCACGGATCAAAGAAAGAGGTTCGATAACAGCCGATCAGGCGCTCATTCATATGGTTAAGGTAAGTCAACTAGTGGACGGGGCTCAGTTGGCAAATGTGTTGAGTGAGAGTATGTGTCTAATATAAATCCACAGTAAATTACGGAGAGCGGGAAGGATCCGAAGTGAAAATTAGCTAAACCGAAGGAGGGTCCCAAAACACTTAATATTGAAGTGTTGTGGTATTATGGTAGATTGTGGAGAAGCGCACATCGACCACTCTCCGACGACGGAAAGATAAAGGGGATGAACTATTGAATGTGTATCGGAAATGACGTGGCCAAAAATGGTAAAGTTCAGATAAAATTGATAAGTGTATATAAATAATGATTTATGGACGAGTAAATGGAGGGCAATTTCCAGGTTATGATGGGGACGGGTATGCTATCATTGCCGTTAGCTTTCAAGAACTCTGGGTTATGGGTAAGTACCTATGTTCTTCTGTTTTTCATTAAATCCTTTCGATTTTCAAATAACTACTATGTAATTTGGATTGTTATTCGTTCCGACTCTTTGTGATCTTCAGCTTGGCATGGTTCTACTGGCCTGTATCTGTTTGATCTGTATATTCTGTACACGACAACTCGTCTTCGCACAACACTACATCGGTTATCTGTGAGTATTTCCCCCAGAAATTCGAGAGGAATATATTGACTTTTCTGTACATCCATGGGTTCCCACAATATAACCCGAAACTTGAGCCAGAACGGCAAAGTAGGCACAGCTAAACGCAATCCTCAACGGATTAACAATTAAACACCGTACTATTCCATTATTTGATTAAATCAACGGCAACAAAACATAAACATTGCCCTCTCCCTCATGAACTTACCAACGAAAGTTGATTTTGCAAATCTCCACTTGGACGAATCTAACCTATACTTTTAAGGAAATCTCAACCACGATTAGATTATGCAAATGTGATGCGATCAGCAGTCGAAATCGGCCCTCCATGGATACGAGATCATGGATACTTTTGGAAGTGAGTCAGCACTACCTGTTAAATAACCTTTTCAAGTTCCACAACGGTCTTCAGACAAATCGTCAACGTAAACATGTTCATGGCGCAATTCGGCTTTTGTTGTGTGTATTTCGTTTTCATGGCGGACAATCTGAAGCAGGTAATCAATGACCCCGTCGTTCCGCCTCCTATATAAGTGCGCAGAAAATGAGGTGTCCAAAGAAATGCCATGTAGGAATGAGACCATACAATTTTTCTCGGAACCATTCTTCTACTCGCTCGATTCTTTTGTTTCATCGACCGAGTCGCCATTCCTTTGATATCGATCTACATAGCCCACCTTGTAACACTACCCAGACACTACTGTACTGATTATTCCGGGCAGTAAAACAGGCGAAGAGCTATCTCTTATGGCTTGCATACTGCGGTTGTAGTTCCATTGCTCTCATGAAATTAGCATGCATTATAGACAAATTGCATACGATTGTAATCATCCAGAGGCTCCTTTTAGTTTTTCGACCAAACATCACAAATTCACATTTCACAAGCCGGCTGGATTGCATTGCTAGCAGTTCCAATCATGGCGCTTTGTACGATCAGAGAATTGAAGGTCAGATTGAATTGATTTATCCGAACTATCATCAACACTGTTGACCTTTTTAGGCTCTGGCTCCACTGGCTGCCATCGCAAACATAGTTTACCTGGTAGCCGTTTGCATCGTACTGCAGCAGCTGTTCCTCTATGACCGTTCCGCCAGCTCACTACCTGCCGTCGCCAACTGGAATACACTGCCGCTCTTCTTCGGCACTGTCATGTTCGCATTCGAAGGAGTCGCTGTGGTAGGTATGGGTACAGAGAAGCAAGAAGTGATCCTGCGGAAATGACGAGGGCGAAGTCATTTTTCCAATTGTAGTATCTCGTTTCAGGTACTGCCGATTGAGAATCAAATGGATGAGCCACTACATTTCATCACTCATAATGGTGTACTGAACACTTCATGCTTACTAGTACTCATTCTCTACATGACTGTTGGGTGAGCCCATCTGATAACATGTCACATGTAGAACCATCCTACTTATATAATCGGATAAGTGTGTCTGCTGGTGTGTGTATGTATGTGTGTATGTGCATGTATGTGTCTATGTGTCTGTGTATGTGTGTGTGTGTGCAGGTATGTGTGTGTCTCAGTATGTGTGCATGTGTGTATGTGTGTGCATGTATGTGTGTGTTTGTCCGACCGGAAATTCATAACTCTCGTCCCACTGTAGCTAAAGCATTCAAATTTGAAAGAGAGATAGGCGGCACGATGGGAACGAATGGTAAGTGATAGGATGTGACAACAATCAACAGAAACAGATAAGGAGCCTTAAAAGGCAGAAGTCACTGGGTCCGTAATCCCTTCCGTATTAGCGATGAAGCCTTGGCACTTTGGTAGGTGATGTAGGATGTGATGGGACCGTTGATGGTTGGTGACAGGAAATGATATCAAGTGATAGGGACTGATAAGAAGTCATAGGAGGCGAGGGCCTGTAAGTCTGTGACGCGTTTCCTGCTAATAGTGAAGTCTTGGTATTTCAATAGGTGATGTAAGATGAGAAAGAATCGTAGGTATCGGTGACGGCATCGAGAACGGGTGGTGCCAGGCCAGGAGCTGTTAAAACTGATAAGGGCCAATGAAAATCCTCGAAGGCGTAGGGCCACTATAATAAAGGCATTAATAGTGGAGCCTTGACAGTTTGGCATGTGATGTGGAGTATGGCGGAATCGTAGACGACCGATGATAGGGACCGATAATAGCTGAAACCGACTGATAAGAGCCCTTACCAACTGAATTCAACTCCTGAGGTATATATGATGTATTTATGATTACGACTATTATACAGATTAACCGCTCGACCGCTACCCAGCGAGGTTTGTAACTCGGTGGAATATCAAGTACACTTTATTTTTTGACCAGTGGAACTCAATATGCAGTAAAAGGAATAGGCGGGTCAATCGATCGCTTCCGCTTCGCCTCGAGAGAAAAAGTTATTCCTTTATGGGTTGTTACACTGAAATGAGAAGGGTATGAGAATGAAGAAAGAGCAATGAATGAGGTCGCCAAATTCGAAATTCTGTATAGGCAAACAAAGTACCATGCCGGCATCGATCAGAGTCACAGTCTCGAAGTATTCACTTCACTCATACTCACTACGTTCCGCAGCACTCGCTCCACTCCATTAATCTATCCACCACCGAGTTACTGCTTTACATATAGAAGGAAATGTGAGAGCTGGATATCCCATATCACTGCCCTTATCGTAATCATGTAGTTTTGCGGACGGACAGACAGACAAACCGACAAGCATACCGACAAACCGACACATCAAGTTATCCTTCTAATATATAAAGCAGTAACTTGGTTTGTCGGTTTGTCGGTATGTCGATATGTCGGCATGTCGGTTTGTCGGTCTGTCCGTCCGGGTTACTTTGTGATTATGATAAAGTAGTGATATGGAAAACTTATTCTTCTTATATAAAAAGCAATCACTTTGTGGCTAGGCTAATGGAGTAAAGTGAGCACTGCGGAGTGAAGTGAGTAATATGAAGTGAGGTGGATGATTCAAATTGTGATCTCTACTGTACTATAATGGCAGTACTTCGACACTGGTTGCTTTATAAATGAGAAGGATGTCATTTACGACAAAGCTCACCCGACCGCCAATAACTCTGGGTTCTCAACTAATGATGTACCCGTGGAGCAAAAAAGGTCTAGTGATAACGACATCTTATAATGGTGTTATTATCACTTGAGAATATTTGTGAGTACTACTCAATTTTGGTTGCCTATCAGTCAAACTTTTAAGGTTCATAATTTCCAAGATGAAGAGCGATCGATTGACACATTTAATCGTAGGCGTAAGCATCGACACGCCCTAAATACCACTNGGGGGGGGGGGGGGGGGGGGGGGCGGCTGCCGATTACTGGGACTTAAAGAAGGAGGAAAGCCCGGCGTAAGCCGGGCGGTCCGACTGTCTCTATATATATTAAGTGGTAACTTTGTGTGTTCGTTAGTATGCCCGTTCTTGCGTCCTTCCAAAAGTTTAGCAGGTACAATGAAGTTATAAAATGGGAAGTCAAGGAGTCAGGGAAGAATACTGTTCATATTGGTCCTCTAACAAGTCGCAGGTAAGCGGGAATGGGCATGTGGTGCACGTATTAGCGTGCGTAGCCCAACTAGCGATAGACATTTCAGTAGGAGCTCTACTTATCCGGAATGCTCATCCCACCCATGGACCCACTACCTTCAAACTTCAAGTGAGCCATATTTATCAATGCTTTTCAGATTCTTTGGATATCTACGGTTTGGTAACGACATTATGGACACTCTTACGCTAAATCTACCTCAGACAAAGTTGGTTCCAACATCGAGGTTTTCACCTTACATTAGATTCAGTGACTTACAATAGAAAGCTTGACTTATAACTATATAAACTCGTCAATATTAATTCTTTAGCTTAGGTATGTTGAATCTAGAAAGGTAGGAAGGAGGATGCTAGTCAATTTTTGAAAATTTTTCTTGCTTGCTGTTGAAAAAAAAAACGAATCCAGTCGCGTCGCGTCGTAGCAAGTCGCGATCCCAAATGGTAAAACTTGGGAAAATTTGTAGGGAATCATTCAGAGGTTTGAACGACGAACAACCGATGCTGCGAGTTCCATGGCATTATGCAAAACTTCCCTAAGATGAGTTAAGCTCGAAAGTGTTTGATGTTTACAAACATTTGCAATGATGCAATTCTTATATTAAAATGACCCAGGCTGCCTCAAAAGATGTGTGGAAGATGAGTAGGAACGTCCGTATATAGAATAGGAAATCTTTTGCCGGAAAGTGCGGTGTGAAATCTATCGGGGTAAGCCAGACACTCCGATTTGGAACTGTAACCAAAAAGCACTTTATGCTGCGATGGGCTTAGTGATTTGCTTTGAGAAATGTGAGAATTGAAACGTCCAGTGTAAGTGAAATCTGTTTGCGCTCGTATGGATCACGGGTTAAACCATGTCAGAAAAAATCATTGCTCCAAAGGTACAGCATACGATAATAGCATAGATATGTAGTTTACTAAAGTGTACTAAAGAAGTGTTTAAGAAGGCGCTGATTTTAAAAAAATAGAAGGCTTCAAATCTTAACGACAGAAGCGGCGAGGAAGGAGTACTCTGTTGACTGACGACTTTCTGTTGACGCAATAGCGTAAAGGGAGGTCGGTACGAACGTGCGTCCGAGGGTGCGCGCGGCAAATTGCGCGGCGAAGTTCGTAATGATTTGAACGACTTTGGCGCCTATCATTGGGACCCAAATTTGAAATAGAGTGGATTAGAAGGATCATCTGACCCTACTAAACTACTCTACTTTGTGTTTGTGCCCCCAAAATTGTCGCCGCAGTCGTACAAATCGTCACGAACTTCGCCGCGCAATTTGCCGCGCGCATCCTCGGACGCACGTTCGTACACATACCCTAGCGTAGAGAGCCAGCAAAGGAAGACATATGCAGGATCCATATAAATGCCTCGCCGGCGGCGACCGTCTGGGTATCTCCCACATAAGTGCACTATTCGTCGACGTCTTTACGTTTTATTGTGAATGGTGCTGGCAAGGCCACCTTCAAGTGTGTACGTAGGCCAGACCGAGTGTGTACGTAAACCAAACAGGATTTGGAGCTCTTATTAAGTCCTGTCTAGACGCTGCGTTTGGGCCCAACAGTGTCCCATATACAATACAATCCTCGGAAGACAAGGGTTCATCCCAGGAGGAAAATTAAGAACAATCTCTACAGTAAACTGTGTCTGCAAAGGTCATGTGATTTGTATCCTGCCACACAAAACCATCTTTTTATAGTTCCCCTTTATAAATATAGAAATTAATGGATTTTATTTCCAGTTTCTATCAAGTAATTAAGTTGATGTTCGTTGCTTGCATATTGGTCTCATACCCACTTCAATTCTACGTTCCTATGGAACGTATTGAAAAATGGATTAAACGCAAGGTGAACTCAATTCACATCAACGAAGTGGAACCTCGTAAACCCAATTCTTATCATTTTCAGGTGGCCGTGGAACGGCAGGAAAAACTCATCTACGGCGTACGTATGGCAGGCGTTATTTGTACTTGTAAGTGATTAACTATCTTTTGGAGTGACCGAATTGGATTCAATAAAATGAATAAATAGATCAGTGCTGTTAACGTCAACAATCATTACAATACTTTGTAGGTTTATTGGCCGAACTCATACCACATCTGGCGCTGTTCATCTCGCTCGTAGGATCGGTTGCTGGCACCTCACTGACTCTAGTTTTCCCTCCAATGATCGAACTACTTTGCTGTTACTCAAAGTGAGTCAATTTGTACGGTTGAATCCAGCTCAAGGAGCGACTTTCCACTCACTGGCATACTCATTGCGGCAGTCGAAACCGTGCTGTCATAACCCACTATGGGTACGGTTGAACACTCAGTTGTTGACATCAGTATTAGCCTGCTTTCATTGTAAGGTCTCGCTTGGACAGTAATTGCAGCAGTTGTATATGAGAGATTGCGAAAAATGGAGAAGACTTGTTCCAAGAATAAGTTCCTTGTTGGCTTCAATTTTTTTCAGATTAAATAGTCTTTTGTACTCGAAAAAGAAAATTAATCATAAATGTTAGTTTGGCCATTATCTGCATTATTGTAGGGATTCGCTGACATCATGGATATGGACTCGTAACATTATGCTTATGATGTTCGCAGTGGTCGGTTTTGCCACCGGTACTTACGCCAGTATGGTACAAATCGTTGATGCATTCGGAAAACCGGATGTCTGACCAGAACTCCTAATAGAAACTCTGAGAGGTCAGGTACTGTTTAAAGCACCATTGTTGACGTACAACCTAATTTGGGTTACCAGTGCGATGCGTGTGTATCAATTCAATCTGTCATTCACGTTGTAGAGTTCAGAAGTGTTTTGTAAAATCGTCTCCAGTCTATTTGCTGTATAATTTTGTTGTTATCAGATTACATCTCGATTACTGATAAAGTTCCATATTACCATAAGGTTCAAGCACCAAGGTCTAGCTTGGTAACATCGTTGTTGCGCCAGTCTTCCAATTCCACTCTATGTCGTGCACATAGGATCCTACTATATATAATTCGCTGAATATGTCTGTTAGTTTGTCGGTGTGTGTGTATGTGCATGTATGTGTGTATGTGTGTTGTGCGTGTTGTGTGTGTGTGTGTTTGTGTGTTTGTGTGATTGTGTGTGTGTGACCGAAAATTCATAGCTCGTGTTCCCGTGGATCTAGAGCGTTCAAATTCGGTAGTAGTACAGGCGGCTGGATGGGAACACTCATGGCAGGTAGCAGGACTAGACCCCGCCCCTAAGGGGCGGAGCTTGCGCGTTAGAAGTTCTTCACCACAAATTTATAACTACTGCTTATGTGGACGTGAAGCGTTGAAACTTGGTAGGAGTTTAGGCGACAAGATGGGAACACTGATGGTGAGCGGCAGACTAGATTCCGTTCACAGGGAGCGGGATTTGCGCGAAGTAATGACTGAGCAGCAATTCATAACTCCTGTTCGTGGCCCTAAAAAATTCAAATTTGGTAGGATCAGAGCTTTTAGTATTAACAGTGGACCTCGGCAATTCAATAAGTAATGTAGGATATGACAGGATGTAGGTACTCGGTGGCAGGAACCGATAAAAACTGCTACGATAGGGGAGCCGCCTACCGATCGAAACCCTAACCCTTCGGTATTTATGAAGTTGCTTTGACCTATCAGAATATTTCATTCATCAAGACGGGATGGTAGAGTAGGGTGACAAAAGTGGGTGGTAAGGATTCATTAACTGCACTACGATAAGCAGTTTAGAATTTTGTTCATTTCTCGCGATTAGATTACGACCGCTATCCAGAAAGGTTTGTGACTCGATGATAGTCCTCTATGTTCGATATCAAATGACAAAACTTAGACGACCGACGGTAATCTTGAATACTCAACTAATGACATGTCCAAAATGAAAAAGGTCCATTGATAATGACTTCTGATATTGGTGCATCGTCACTCAATTGTGAGTACAGCAAAAGGCTTTGGTTGCCTAGAAGTTGAACTTTCATTGGAATTTATTTTTAAGAAAGAAAGGAAAAGATTGAGACTTACAGTCGACAGTGTAAGCACTTTACGGTGAATACTATTTGCACTGCCCTGTTAGTCCTGTGTCAAAATTCGTGTACAGAAAACTATTTGTTTCAAAGATGGAGTGGATAGTTAGCTGATCGCTACAACTTGCCAAAGGAGGAGAGAAAGATGGGACTCAAAAAACCTGAATTCCTCATCACATCAAACTGCAACTACATCTGATGATTCGTACATAGATCTCAGCTTCAACCGAGAATCAAGAAAATGGGGTTGAAAACCAAGACTAAGACTTCGGAAGTGGAACCTAACTGTTCGGAAGAGGGGAGGTAAAGATAGCAATGACATTTAACTTATCCTTGACGCATCATCCCTTTCGAAGCAAAACCAGTGGAACTTAATACCCGCCCTCCCCTCTCCCTCCTGAAAACCTGCCAATTTTGACACAAATGAAGCTCAGGGATGACCTCAGAGGTAAGCGGTGGACCCTGTACATTATGAACCCATCAGAAACACCGCGTTTGCTTATACGACGCTCTCAGCCTTACGAGAGTAGCTAGAAAGTATACGGATTACTCCTATACCGCCCACATGACCCTACCTGCAATTGATCGAATGCCATTTTGGTTAGAACTGCTTGGGACCTTTACCTCCCCCCCCCCCCCCCCCCTCAGTTGCCTTGCTATACGTGAACCCATTAACCCAAGTTCCTGTTACTGTATCTTTAATAGTTTATTTCGAGACTGATGTTGATAGCCATCACTCTTGACCGATGATGGACTTGCTCCGATGGAACCCTATCGAGTCCGCAATAACCCCTAAATTCTTCCAAATCAGCCATATCCTATTATGTATTCGTATTTTCATCGCAATGAAGTCATTGTTGTAGGTCTAGTGTTGACAAAAAGCTGCTTTGCTGGGACAATTCTATAGAATCTCGCGTCAACACTCGCTCACTCCTGTCTAAGACATTCGTTGCATTGACGAGGTCTCATCGAAATTACTCTATAATCCAGGGAATCTCATAATCGTTCGATACAGGGATAATTTCCACATAAATGTCTCTTTCAACTACGAAAATCTAAAGAATCATTGTCGCTGTTGCTAATATGATACTCCGCACGCTCCTTGAAGCTGAGAAGCTCGGTTCACATTCAATCCATTCTTCGCCAGGTTCTGCCATCTGAAGCTTACCCTGGGACACTCCGTTGTCGGAGCGATGTTACCAGCGTGGAGGGTGGTCTCCAGTGGCCCATCCGAGGATCCTTTGGTGATAACATCGAGTGTTAACAAGAAGAGGAACGGACTTAAGGCTGACCTGGCAACCTGACTGTTGAAAGAGCTATCAGTTATATGTATTACTGCTACCAATATTACTGCTATTATCAATTTTTAGCAATTCTCAGTGGCATCTTATTAGATATAGTAGTTCAAATTTGTTATTATTAGCGTTATTTACTGCCAAGCGGATCGCCCGGCTAAGGTCGGGCTCTCCCCCTTGTGGTAAAGTTGACCGCGCTTGCATTCTTCCAATTGATTTCTAGCAAAACACGCATAACTAAACAAACAAATATATATGTATATAAGTAAAGAAATAAATACATACAGGGCCCTGATGGCCCCTCTTTGAATTCTCTACCTCTGCAGCGATTGCTGTTCATCTCCCTCGAGTGTGCTCGCATGTTTGTCGTTACATTGCATTTTTCATAATTGCTATCCCAGTTCACTCCACCTTCATTTGTAATTTCGATTCTGTTTATGATTTTTCGGCTTCGTTGCCGCTTATGCAGGTTTTTTATGTTTGTTACCTCGTGGCTACCTCAGAGCCCTTGCATGAGTCATCTCATGTAATAAGTAAATATATACATACATATATATATACATGTATATATACATACATATATATTTACATATATATACATACATACATACATACATACATACATACATACATACATACATACATACATACATACATACATACATACATACATACATACATACATACATATATA